TCCACTGACTTTTAGAGAGAGTGGAAGGGAGGAAGGAAGGAGGGGCAGGGGGTGGAAAGGGGAGGGGGGGAGAGAGAGAGAGAGAGAGAGAGAGAGAGAGAGAGAGAGAGAGAGAAATATCTATGGGAGACACATTGATTGGTTGCCTCTCCCACACACCCGCGACCTGGGCCAGGGATTCAACCTGCAACCCAGGTATGGTACCTTGACTGGGAATCTAGCCCGAGACCCTTCAGTGCATGGGATGATGCTCTAACCATTGAGCCCACCATCCAGGGCTTTTTACTGATTTTTTAGAGAGGGAGAGGGATAGAGAGAAACATCGACGTGAAGTGTGAGCGCAAACATCAATCAGCTGCCTCCTGCACGTCCCCCACTCACAACCTATCCCCCACTCACAACCCGGGCCAATCCAGCCAATTCAGGCATGTGCCCTGACCCACTGGGAACTGAACTGGCAACCTTTTGGTGCAAGGAATGATGCCGAACTGAGCCACACCACCAGGAATGTAATCTTAATGGGTCAGTCTGGAATTTACGGTTAGTACCAATGCGGTAATTTGCCATGTGACTCTCGGTATTTCCTCCTCCCCCAGAAGCTGAAACAACCTGCCTGATACCAATCCCCTTTCCCTGAGGAAAGCTAACCTTGCCTGACACAATGCTGTCTTTTCTTCTGCTAATAACTTTGTTCCACCCAGTTTCGGCGTCTAAAAGCCTTCCATATTGTACAGCTTCTTGGAGCACCTCTCTACTTGCTAGGTTGGATGCTGCCTGATTCATGAATTGCTCAATAAAGACAAATTAGATCTTCAAATTTACTCGAATTTTTGTTCTTTAACACTATGTTTAAAAATGTACCTTTTTTTTCAGTTGACATTTAAAAATTCTGGATAAGTAATATTGTATGACTGAAGCACTGGTTAGTCAGAATAATTCCTGGAGTAGAACGGTGGCATATTTTCTGCACACATTTTCCTTTAATATCTATCTTTGCCACTCACAGTCATTCTGAGTATTTCCTTCTTGCTCCTTGAGGGCTTTACTTCTGGAGAATTACTTGGCTTTAAATACAGACCTGTTTCACAGTTCTCACAACTAGGTAAATTATATTGTAATGTTCAGTAAATTTTCTATTTTATGGTAGGAAAAAACACTAAACATGGTGAGATCTACATGTTAGTTTGCAATGTCACAATAACTAGGTTTAAGTAAACACTGCACTACACATTAGTATCTTAGTCAATAGAAAGTAATTCAGGGCTACACCTTCAGAATGCAACTGGTGAAATTCAGTCTTTCAAAAGGCAAAGGATAACTCTACGTACTGGGTTCAAAGGATTTATGACTTCATTACACATAGCAGTAGGCATTCAATATTAATGTAAAAAAGTCCAGACTTTATAAATTAAGTGGTAGTAACATGATAACATCTAGTTTTTTAAGTGCTTCTTCTTGTTTTAATGTACTTGTGTTCATATATTGCTGGTCATAGAAATGTTGGCAGAGAGGAGTTGGGGAAAGACACACACACACACACACACAGACTTTTTTATCTCAGGTTTCCATAATTGCAGAGTTGCTCTTTATATCTTAATGGGATTCAAGGCAGCTAAAACAGGAATTTGAAAATGATATGGCAGACAAAAAAGGAAAAACATTTGAAAAGACCATATTTTCTTATGTTATCCTAGAAAATATTCTTTAAATAAAATTCTCTTTTAAAAGAAATAATATTCCTACATAAAAACAGCCAAAACAGCAATACTCTTTACTCCTGGTTATTGGTACAATTATCTGCTTTTATAGGATTATTCAATAACTTATTCTTTCCACTTTGGGTAAAACTTTATGATAGGTGTTTCTTCTGCTTCTAACCATATCAGCAGGATCATAGAGGGTATTAAGGTGCCCCGAGGGAGTGTTGAGCTGTTGTTTGGAATAATTTTTAAAACTCTGACCTAAGGCAACATTTTGAGAGACCAAGAGCATTTTCTTTCACACTGTAGCCCAAAGAAACACATTTTGCCCTTCAATATTCCACTGCAGTTGCAATTGGCTAGGATAGTTTACATTTTCCATTCAAAAACTGTTGAAAAAGCACATCAGATTTGCATTTCAACAATGGATGGCAACCATTACAGGCATGTCACCTGAAATAAAAGCATTTGGGGTATTAAAAAAGAAATACTTTTGTAAAATACACAAATGGTCAATTATATAAAAATACAATCATTCAGGTATTAATGAATATCACAAAACAAGACGAATCTTCTCAAACATATTTGATTTTTATTGCATATCACTTTCACTATTTCTCAGCACCAAAATTTTGTACTTAGCACAGAGCTCCACATTAGTAATTTAATGTTAAAAAAAATGTAGTCCTGCTTTTTGGGGTGAAACCACAGAAAAATCAACAATATACCATAGTTTTGATACATGGGGTATTGAGGGTGTACTTCTGTCCAATAATATAAGAGAATGGTGACATGAATTTTTGAGATGGAATGAGGGGAAAAGTTTAGAGAAACCTAAAGGCAACAGGTTAATTTGACAACTACGTCTGTCCAGATCCTGCACAAGACTATAGCCGTTTATGCTTTAACAAGCACTTCAGAGAGGATTGTAGATGCTAAGTCTGCAAAAGTTCCTGAATCAGGTCGAACTATAAAGGTTTAGTCCCCCAACTTAGAACCTAGTTAAAAAAAAAAATTATCTCTAGGGTTTGCCATATTATTATTGTTATTTTTTAAATTCCTGGGCCAGAAATACATTTTCGCCTACTAGTAAAAAAAAAAAAAAATGCTTAGGTCTAGAATGTTTTAACACGTTAATGCCAGGGAAGCAACCTCACTAAATTGCCTCCCATCAAAGGTAGCGTTGCTTCTGTAGAAATACGGTCAGACCCATGCAGGTTTTTGTTTTTAAACTCGAATCGCCACTGGTTCTTTCCTAAAAAGTAGTCTTCACTTTTGACTGCACCCGTGTTGCCACCCTGCCGAGGCCACTTTTTCTTTTAAGTCAAACCGGCGGGGGCTACAGCCGGGACCATTCAATGAAAAGCCGCCCCCCTGCTGGAGCCGGGCTCCACCTGTTGAGGTCAGCGAGCGCCTGAGCCGGGCGGCTTCTCCCTCCAGGTACGGACGTCCGCCGAGCGTTCCGTCTCTCGGAACCAGTTAACCGCAAACAGCGGCACTGTCTGCGCGGCGGGCCGGCCCCCGCCGGGCGAAGGGCGAGGGGCCGCATGGCAGCCGGCACCGCGCTACACAAAAGGCAGCACCCATCGTGCGGAGCCACCGGCCTGCCGCGGACCCCGCAGCGCCCGGCGCTAGGGCGTCATCCTGCGAGGGGCCAGGGCGGCGCGGGCCCGGGAGGAGCCCAGGTGCGGCGAGGTCCGCGAGGAGGGCTGCCGCCACGCGCCAAGAAAGCCTGACTCATGTCGTGGCGGTGGCGGTGGCGGCGGCGGCGGGCTCCTGGGAACTAAAACTCGTGATGCTGTCGCTGCGGAGAAAAGCCTCATTATCCATTCCGCAGGCGGGGGGACACCTCCCAGGGCGCGTACACCCGACGCCGGCTCCAGCGACCTCCCCGCCACGCTCCCCTCTCCGCCGCGTGCCCGCGCGCGCGCGACGGCCGCGTGTGAAAAAGAGCGGACACACCTAACCCGCGCGCGCCCCGCATCCCGCCCCACCCCCACTCGGGCGGTCTCACGGGCCCACCCGATTCGCTCCCCGGCGGAGCTCCCCGCCCCCACCACCGGTCTCGGCGCCTCCGCCAGTCTTCGGCAATTTCCGTCAGCGCACCCAAGGCCCGAACACCCGCCGCCGCCTTCGCCGCCGGACCCGGCTTTATGTCTGCGGCGCCGGGACGCATGCGCAGACGCCATCTTCCCTCCCCGGTCGGTCTCCTCCCCCCGCCGCCGCCTTCTCCGGCCGGCGTTCGCCCCTCCTCCTCCTGCGCTCGGGCGCTGGTCCCTCCTCTCCCGATGCCGCGAGAGACCGGGGGATACCGTGGAGCCGGAGAAGAGCACTAGTAACAACCACCTCCGCCCCCTCCCCGCCCGCTGCCCTCCCGCGGCACTCGCCCGCCCCGTTTGCCGACACCGACCAACCCCACCTCTCGTTCCTTTGAACGGCATCGGCTGCAGTCGCTGCACCAGCCCGTCTGGCCACCAACGCCGCCGAGTGAGGAGCCGTCGCCGCCGCCTGCGGCCCCTCCCGCCCGGGCCGCGGGAGCAGCGGGGTGAGGACCAGCCGGCTGCGGAGGAAGAGGACACGAGCGGCTCGCACCCTCCGCGCTAGCGCACCGCTCGCCGCCCTTCGGGGAGGCTCGGCGCCGGCCCCGGACTCCCCGAGGACGTGTGCCCGGCCGAGGCGCCTGCTCCGAGGGAGGAGAATGTTCGGGTTCCTTGGCTGCCTGTGATGGATCGTCCCTGTTTGTTTAGCTGTTACCGCCGCCGTACCCCTGTCCGTGTTCCGTGATGTATTCTG